TGTTAGTGTAGCCTAAAATTTCAAACTAGTCATTTGTTTCAATTACTACTTAAGAAAAATACATTAAGTTATACTTATAAAACATTCATAATTGTTCATCCAATCTATACTTATTGTATTATGATTCTATTTCATTCCCCTTTAGTTAAATCACTTCAATAAAAGCTACCTTAATCTCTAACTTCCAAAAGGAAACAATAAAGGCAAGTTAATTCTCCACAAACGCCAATGAAACCACCGAGCTGGCATGCAGGGAACCCCAGCAGCTCACTGAAGTCCAATGTGCTGTCCGCCTCAGACACTAGCTAGGCCAGTTGGAATCAACTCCCTCGTCAGTCTGGTGGGTTGTTCTTTAAATGATACATAACATTTGAGACTAACAGAGAAACACCATAAATTTTCATTTCAATTGATCAGATGTTCTCTGATGAATTTTCCATTTTTTCTTAATTAATAGAGAATCTTAATAAATAAAGATTCAATTCAATTCTTCATGAGATATAAAATCGCTCCAAATCTATTTGAAATAAAGTGTTCATAATTGGTGGTGAGTGGGCCCCAGGGGAAAAACTGGGAGTTGTGGAAAAATGGAAAATATTTTGGCTCTCTGGATTTCAGCCATTTACTACAGAAAACACTAATGACAAGGATTCTCCATGGAATACATTATTTTCTGTGGTCCCAGTTCAATCCCCAGTCCTGAATGAAATAGATCAATGATGAAGAGGGAAAGGGGGTGATCGAGTTCCAAGAAAATGATGAGGTCTAAGTCAAGACCTATAGGAGTTTTGTTACCTGTTCTCAGAAACATACATAAATAGGATGCACTTCTATTGCAGGAGCATTTAATTTGAAAGACAACAAATGTCCTTTCAACTTTTACAATATCTGCAGATAATTGAATCAGGTGTGTTATTTATTTATTTGCCTTTATGCCAGTTATTCCCTTGATCTATTTGCTGGAGATTTTCTCTTTAGATAAATAAGGAATTTTTCTAAAGAAATGGAAAAATGGGTCAATGACATGTAATATCCAGACACAAATTTTATTCATATGAAAAATATTCACATCTATGTTAATCATGTAAATAAAATTTGACTTTGGGTATAATAGAAAGTGATGTAAATATCAATTTCTGTAATACTTGGATTGACAGTGTGATTAGTGCTAAGGTTTTCTTTGTGATACCCCAAGGAGAGGAGACGCTACTGAAGCATCATCAAGTCGTTTTTTATGTATCTCAGTTCTTCCCAGCCCTGACCGGCACCCAGAGAAAAATGACATTCCAGGAGGATTTCTAGCTATTTTATTTTCCCCTTCCCATAGTCCATTCATTTCGCATTTACTTACACAAAAGACAGTTGGCATTTCATAGGTGACTGACAAAATAATCAGCGACGATCAAGAACAAGAAGAAGGCTTGTTCTTTGGATAAAAAATGTTGGCTCCAGAGGAGGATGCCTTTCTCACTCAGTGTGATAGTTATTGCTTTAAATATCTTTGGCCTGGTTCAGTTTGGGTTATTTTGGAATAGCATATATTAACCACTCACTTAATTCTTTTCATACTCAAGCTTTTGTTAGAATCTTTGTAAAATGTAGTATAGCCGCAACCCATTTTGCAGATGTATAGCCTCAGAAACTTAAAGGGGAGAATTCTGTTCTGTCCTATATGGTTGTTAGGAATTAAAGTTGACTGGGTGGCATTATGTTTGGTTTTGGTTTTTAGTAGGTTTATTGGGGGCAGTGTAGTGCAGCTATTTGTTTAGCATTGCTGATATCTAGGAGATTAGATCGAACTTACAGCTTTAAACACAGAGTTGTAACGACTGATCTGAACCTCACAGTTATCCATTATTTGTAAGGATATTTCAGAGATAAACTGTATTTGTCCAATTATAGATAAAACACTTAAGAATAGGAGTAAATCTAAAGCATTTTTTACTTTAAATGTTAAGAAGGGCTCTCTCGAATTGTGGGTTCCTTTTCTTGCTTTGGTAATCGTCAATGTTATTTTCTCTGTTAGGTACTTTTCTGCAGCCTGAGAGCATGGACCAGGGCAATTATTCCAGGGTGGCTGAGTTCGTGCTGCTGGGCCTCTCCAGTTCCTGGGAACTCCAGTGTTTCTTCTTTGTGTCTTTTAATTTCTTGTACATTGCCATTGTTCTGGGAAATCTCCTCATCGTCCTCACGGTTATTTCTGAATCTGCCCTGCACACACCTATGTACATCATGCTGAGCAACCTTTCTCTTCTTGATGTGTTTCTGGCCACTTATGCAACGCCCAAAATGATCCATGATTTCCTCCATGAACCCAAGACCATCTCTTTTGAGGGCTGCATGGCCCAGATATTCTTGCTCCATGTGTTTGCTGGTGGTGAAATGATGCTTCTTGTAGCCATGGCATATGACAGGTATGTAGCTATATGCAAACCTCTCCATTATGCAACCATTATGAATTTATGCAAATGTACAAGCTTAGTTGTAGGCTCTTGGGTCATTGGGGTCATACACTCATTGAGCCAGTTGGCATTCACTGTAAACTTACCTTTCTGTGGCCCAAATGTCGTGGACAGTTATTATTGTGACCTTACTTTGGTCATTAAACTTGCTTGTACAGATACTTATGTCCCTGAAGTGTTGATGCTTTTGGACAGTGGCCTGATGGGGGTGACTTCATTCTTGCTCTTGCTCATCTCCTACACGGTCATCCTGGTCACTGTGCGACGTCGATCATCAACGGGCATGTCCAAGGCCCGCAGCACCCTGACAGCCCACATCACTGTGGTGACCCTCTTCTTTGGGCCCTGTATTTTCATCTATGCCTGGCCTTTCGGCAATTTTCCAGTGGATAAGGTCCTGTCTGTGTTCTCTACAGTTTTCACACCTATATTGAACCCTGTTATCTACACGCTGAGAAACAAAGAGGTAAAATCAGCAATGCATAAGCTGAAGACCAGGTATGTAAGTTCCAGGCTTCCTTTCCAGCAGGCTCTCTCACAGCTGGACTTGTTGAATTGAGAAGACAAGGAGGCTTGAGGAA